TTCTATTAAATGAAATAAAACAAAAATACTTTATAATTTTATGGAAACTTGAGCAAACTATTGTCACAGAGATGATGTCTTATAAATAGGAAAGGACTGTTTTTTTATTAAGTAAACTGCAACACTGATCTAGTTTAGTTTTTATTTTAAGTATTTCTGCCTGAAACAATCTCCAGAAATTCATTCAATGCAACCTAAATTACAATTAGAATAGGAATACCACCAAAAATACATTTGTCTCGGTTAATGTTTGAGATAATTTAGAGGGGTGGAGACCTCAGACAGAAGTCTCCTCCCGCAGATTCAATACCCCTAGTTTCTCCAATAGAGAGAGAGACCAAATATGCCCATAAATAAATGAAAAAATAACTCTTTACCAAGAAGAAATGCCAGTATTAATACTGATAAAACTGGGTTAAACCAACTGATGAGGAGAAACTTCCCAAGCCCTGCCTGCTGGACCAAATGAAGATGGCAGCTGGCCTCCTCAACCTGGAAGAAACAAATGTGACCACAGGACAAGAGACCAGATGGCTGCCCTTCCATGTGTTTTGCCACCCTCACAGCCAGAAAACCGGACAGGGATGGCTGGAGAGCCAGTGCTGGCAGGAAACGGCAGATGGCAGGGATTTGATACTGGCAGGTGCTTGCGTAGTGGTGGAGTGAGGCTACAGTTCTAGTTCAGTTGGGCCAGGGCTGTGGACCCCCTCAAAGTGACTGGAAGGACCTCAAGACTCTGGTTAGATCCAGTGAAGAGATTTTGTTGTTGTAATTCCAATGGTCAAACTGTTATTGAAGTGGTGACTGTAGTCCTGTCAAAGTAGTGGTCGTAGTCTGGATCTGCCAAGGTGGTGGTGGAAGCCCCACATTTGGGAGGCAAACCATGTGGAAGGGCAGCCATCTGTCCTGTGTGTGTTTTGTGCAGGTGGGGGAGGCCAGCTGCCGTCTCGATTTGGTCTGGTTGGTTTTAACGCAGTTTTATCAGTAGTTATTGGCATTGTTCTTGGTAAAGAGTTATTTTTTCACTTACATTCAGGCGTATTTGGTCACTCTCTCTGTATTGGGGAAACCAGGGGTACTGAATCTTGAGTAGAAGACTTCTGTTCTAGGTCTACGCCCTGCCAAACTGTCTCAAACCAAGACGGGTTTTCTGCAAGCACCTGCAAGCAGCATTTGTTGCCAAATAAGAGCAGGCAGGATTATATTTAATTTGATGCAATAAATTTTCCAAATTAATTTTTTAAATTATTAAATTTTCCAGAATTTAAAATGTTTGCAGAACAAAGAACTTCTTGTAATCAAGGTTGATTATGAGTAGTTCAGCGTTGCTGAGGTATTTAACCTGGAAACAGTCTATTAAAACATGATGTTAGTATTAGCTGAGAATACACACAAAATAGAGTCTCACTGGCTTAATCACTAGAATTTCACATTTTGAAATAAGTAAAAGTGTTATGATCAAAAATTTTTGTGCTAGAACTGTTTGAAGAAAAAAATAAATGAGCAAATAAAGTAAAAATGTAACAAGAAATAATAATAATTTAAAAAAAAGCAAAAAAAACCCAGAACAAATCCATTAAACTGAATCAAAACACTGAAAAAATAACTTTATCAGAAAATACATGGAGTGGCTATCTTTTGTTAATACATAAATAGGAAGGGTGATTTGAAAACTTAAACAGGTGCAAGGTGGTAATACCTTCTCAGATGGTTAGACTTACGCTTTTTTTAAAAAAGCTTCAAATACAGTATAACATACAGAAAGTGTAGTCTCATTCTACCAAAATACTAAAGAACATTCAAGGTTTCAAGATAGGCTTATATTTCCAAGATCATATTATATGTCTGTAACTGGTGATTAGCTGTCTTCGTTAGCATCACCTGCACTCTCTCAAAAACGTAAACTTTATGCCCACAAATTTTTATGCCAAACTCTCATAATCACAATTTATTTTTCTTTAGGCAACAAAATGCAGAAAAATATAGCAATTAAATGTAACGACACCATCAGAAGTTGAAAAACTATCTGTAGAACAATTATTTTACTAGGAAGTCACAGAAGTAAGTTTGTATCAATCACAGTCCTTTGCAGAATTGAGTTTATGAAGGCAGGCATGGTCTACTCTTTCTTGTAACCTTGTAATATTAACTGCAAAAAGGTGTTCCTCTTGCTAGGTCAATTTCCTCACAATACAAAGTTTTCTGTACTGAAGTATTCTGACAAGCAAGAATGCTGAGGGCTCTGCATGGTATGCACAGTCAGAAGAATCGCTACTGTATAATGAGTCACATTTTTCCTCCTTACTTAAGTGCCAGTTTGAATCCCATCAAATCTAAATGGCATATAGTTCTCCCTTGAGGTAAGATTTTCTAGTGAACCAGTCCATATGAACACTAAAGAGGTGATAAGCTCAGATTACTGCTGCCTTAATACTTTTTAAGATCTGTAAGTTATCAGGTCCTGACAGACTAAAAAGATGGGAAGGAATGAATTGTCTCCTGAGCAACACTTCTTTCCAGCAAAAGATTCCTCTATATAGAATAAAAAACTATCTGAATAAACATCACTGATGGGAAACAGGTTTTGTGTTTGTTTTTTTTTTTTTTTTTTCCAATATGTGTGTCAGAGCATCAGTTCAGGACTTAAAAAAGTGAAATCTCAAGGATGTGAACAGCTATAGCAATCCACAGGTGGTCTGTTTGCCATCACTCATGTTGAATCTCAGTATAGGATGTTTTCTGGATTTTAGTTCTGTGATTACTACTGATGTATCTGGTACATATGTTGGATGCATTTGTACTAAGTGATATATGTGGTACTAAGCGTGTGGAACTGAGAATGTGACCTCTTGGTCACAGAGCCAATGCTGATGAAATTAATGTCAAAGTCACAACTCCAAGGTGCAGCTAATTATAAAGATGATGGTGTTGATACTTACATTTTTTTGTATTTCTTCCCCTTGGAATTACAGATTACTTTGAAGTAAGGGTGACTGTTAAAACTTGTTGAAGTTTTAGCTGAAGGACAGTAACAGACCATTTTCTCCCTGTACCCTTGTGGTTACTGTGTTTTTCTGCTTTGTCTGTTTGTATTGTTCTCTACTTTTTAGTAAAAAACATTTTTTTTTTGTTTCTACATGTTGCTCAAAACCCCTCATGTCTATTTTCAAATTTACAGTAAGTCCGGGAGGGAGGGTTTCCATTCCATCAGAGGTCCCGCCTACCTGGCAACATTGTCTTTAACCCAAAACACTTTGGCATACACAGAGAAAAAAATGGAAAAGTTACCCTACTGTTTTTCAATATACTCCCCAAGCTTCCTGATGGTTGATACTACTGATGAAAGATCTTTTTCCAATTTTTTCTCATAAGGAAGATCTGTTCATCATTGCCTTGAATTTCTTTGGTTTACTTGTCAGGATTTTTCAAAGAGCTACAGCTTTCAGTTGGCTCTGTATCAGTCTGAACCAGCTTTCCTTAAAAACTGATTGTGCATTTTAGGCACTGAGAGAAAATGGATTACCCCTTTCTGCAGCTTTTCTTTTGCTGTAGTAAGTGACTGTGCTGAGCCAAGGAAAAGCTCTGCATTGAAGCTTTGGGTTCTGGGCTTGTCCAGAATCTCAGGGAATGTGTATCTTCTCAGGGTCCAACATTAGTATGAGAGAGATTTCTGAAACAGCTGACTCCAATTTTCTTTAATAATTACTCAAAAATCTGAATTCTATAAACTTGCATTTTTTGGAAAATGTGTAAGTAATCTTTACTACACATTTTATGGTAGTGAGTTCCATGTCAGTATAAAACTTTATATGAAGTACATTCATTTAAATCTATTTCTGTGATTTACTTGGATGAGATTTGATTTTGTTATGAGAAATAATCAATATTGCTGCTTCTCTAGAATGCTCATTTGTAACTATCCTATCTCCTTCTTAGTGGTTTGTTTTGGTTTGGTTTTTGGAGGTGAATGGTGTAGGTTGTTATTTTTCTTTCTATAACATGAGAAACTTCTTAGGGTTTACCATTTTTTCTTCAACTTATCAACGTCACCCCAGAAGCAGTCATCCAGGGGCAATGAAGTATTTCAGCTTGTAGTATTAGTAATAAGGTGAAAGGATAGCAGAATACAGAGAAATTAAAAATAAATGAAGAAAAAAAACCCCTAATGAGCCAATGCTATAAAGCAAAGCCAAGAAACTTAGCTATTTGTATAATTAATTAAAAATACTGTAAGGTGTATAGATTAGTCAGACATTAGAGCTAGTATTTTAATAAGGGAGGTTAAAATACATCAAGAGGGTGACTATACAAGCAGTATGAAGCAAAAAGAAGTCAATGTTCATGCATAACAGCACACATTGGTTTCTATACTCATGGCTATTATCAGCTGTGTGGGTAAAAGGAATAATTTTCACTCAAAACCACACAAGATGTAATTATTTTTTAATTTAACATTTAATTGGGTTAAAAAAGGCAATTACACTGGAACTTATGTTACATTCATTCCCCCTTCCTCTCCCACGTGTCCTTAGATCATCTTTGAAGTTCGTCACATAACATCACATAAACCCCATTTCTATCTGCTGAAAAATCGTTAAAGTTCCTATCTCAATAAATGGCAATCTGGTTAACAGAAGACATTATTTTTCAAGTGTATAGTCACTACAGATACACAAAAGTAGAATTATTGTACTCAAAGTCCACAATATCTACAGAGAAGACTGGGATTACACAGAATGACAGCAATGAGTCAGAAGGAAGCCCTCAACTGACATAACTTAGATGCTGTAGAAATCAACAGAACAGAGACCTGTTACAACAAGCCTTGATAAACTAGGTCTGAAAAAGTGCAAACAGAAACTGTTAGAAGACTTCATGCAATCTAAACAAATCTAAAACACAGAAGTAACATATAAAGTATGATCTTTAATGTAAAAAGGACTGTTAAATATCTTTACTTTATTACCTGAATCTGCATCTTTAGTGAGACTTCCTTTTTAAAGACACTTTTTTTCTTTTGCCATATCTCACACTTTTCAAAAAAATAGAAAAATAATCATTCAAAAAGAAGCGACTGTCAATATAACAGAAATTTTTTATGATGCCTAAGTACGTCCTATCCCTGAATTAAGAGTACTGGTGTTATTTTGTTTTGAAGTACATATGTAGGTCACACTACTTGTGAAAAGCTTCTAGGCGCATTCTGTTTGGATCTTCTGGATGTCTCAGGGCCACTCCAAATCGCAGCAGCAGCTCAATGTAAGGTGGCCAAAATGACTCATTGATTGTTACATAAGGTTCATGTGGTGTGGCCATTAATTTTTCTATCAGAATCTGGAAGACCAAAAGGATAAGATTTAGGAAGTAAACAAAAGAGCTAGATTTTTATCTCCTTTAACCAAATTTATACAAATTACTGTAATGTAGGCAATATAAGGACTACAGGACTACAGGAGAAATACAAGACCTGTTTAAAGTAGAAGCAAAGAACTTCCAATTAACTTCATTGCATCATTTGTTATGTAAAAATTAGAACCAGAATTCTCCTTTTATCCAGAATAAATATAGACTAAATTCCTTATCTAAATAGAGAATTCGTTAATGGAGGTAAAAACAAAATCAGTTTTGACATTCATTTTCAGTTCATGGAGACAGTGTTTATGCCCTCATAATATTGCTCATTGGGAATACTGCACACATTACAGATAAAGTAATCTTACCCATCCCATGGTGCTCTCTCTACTGATCCCAGATATTTAATCTTTCCACTCAGAGGTTCTAAATATTATACTTTCCCAACTTCAGTAAGTACAAAATATTTTCTGCCCCTTTTTGCTTAAGAGAGACTCAAAATCCTTGCTACCAGACCATATTCTTTTTTCACCTATTGCTATTTAAAAAAAATCCAAACCCACAACTGCTCTTCAGAGTGTTCCGAAGAATTGTCCCAGTTTTGTACTTACTTGACCCAATTATGAGACTTTACTCCAAATGCATTATTTGACATGAATTTTTACTTAGTCTCTTCTAACATCCGATATTCCAAAATAGCCCTTATGGCTGTAACGTTTATCTCTGTATGTAAGAAAATACTTTTCAAATTTTAAAAGGGACTTCAAGCTAGAAACACATCACTCAACAAATAAAAACCTCCCGGAAAACAAAGATAAGGGACATTGACACTTTAGGCCAAGACAGTTACACCTGAAAACAAATCTGAATTTTTCAAAGTAGTATGTTCTTCCAAATGGAAATCAGTCATTACTTGAATGTGTTCACATTTTAAGGAGATTAACAATAAGATAAAAATATGAAGGGCAATTTTTAAGCATTAGAAGAACTTCAAAATTCTAATTCCAAGAGTACTGTGTAAATTCTAAATTCTGATCTGTTTTCAAGCTCTGCCTAATTTGACATTAATAGGTATGCTAAGATATCTGAAGCATGTAAAATAATTTTGATGATGCAAGCCCAAAGCCTGGGTTTTAAACTAAAGTACAACAATGTAATAGTGATCAGATAACGGCATCTTAGTACCAGAAAGTTTTTATCCATCACGTTGTGCCTCAGAAAAAACTTTTTTCCCCAGGGACATTTTATATATATATAGATGCTTTGAACTGTCTGAAGAGTAAGGATAGAGGAGAAATACAAAACTTCACTTGAAATGCTATATTTAATGCGAGAAGGAAAATTATATTTTATAATTCCAATTCATAGATTGTACTATAATTAAAAACTCACATGAAGGACTTAGAAACACATGAATTGGATCGGTTTCCTCATATGAGAAGATAATCATACATGAGACTGCATATTAGTTAGTCCTTGTGAGATTACACATAAATTGGTCCTTCTATAACTGTTATTGCATTAAATTTCAGAAATATTTTTATTGAAACAGTACAAAATAGTGTGCAACTGACCGATTTTTTTGTTAAGCACAGTATTTTTTTCTCCTAATATGAGCCACTAAAGTACAAAAACTTCTTTAAACTAAACATTATAAAATCAAGAAATAAGAGATAACCACTCTCCAGCTTAAACTGAAGATTATTGTCATATCTCTTGTAAAAACTGGGATTTTGATAGGAATTTAAATAGAAAACTGACTTATCTGAAATCTCTTCTTTCAGTTTAAAACCATTGCTCCCTGTCCTATCACTTTCATTACCTGTATAAAAAGTTGCTTTCTCTCTTTTTTACAGGCCCCTTTTTAGTACTGGAAGGTTGAAATGAGGTCTCCCTGCAGCCTTCTTAAAGACGTAAAATCCTTAATATTCTACATTAACCAAATGCCATATAATGTCATTCATCTTATTAATAAATACATACCACTTTATGGCTAATGTTATTATATGATCTGAATATTGAAAAATCCTCCAAATCTCTACATAATAAAACTATCTTACCTGTAAAATGTCTTGCAATGCTAGCAGTTCTACAGCTGGCCCTGGAGAAAAGTTCTGGAAAGATATACATGTCCACAGCCAAATTAACAAAACTTCAAACTAGTAAGGGCTTTCACTCGATTTAGTCATGACAGAAATACAAGATAGTATTTAAAACTACCAGTTCAAAATCCTACATTTCAAATGTAACATTTTTTAATTATTAAAAGAGATTAACCTTAAGTGATCATGTTTGTATTTGTGTTTATATTTATATTAAAATAAAACCAAGTACATCACATTTATAACATAGTATAGTGCAGAACCTTATATGAATATGTTAGGGAAAAAATGTTTTTCATGAGCTTTACATAAATATTTACAATACAAACTTGACAGAACTCACGACTTCATTTCATAGTGCCTTAATATTTTTTCATGATTTGCCAATGAATATTTATTTACTTACTCTAAATTCAATTTTTAAAAATGAACAAGCATAAGAAATACAATAATTAAAATCTGGAGAGGAGGGGAGGTTATGATAAAATATCATTAGAAAATTGTTTTCCTTCGTAGCAAGCAAATCAAGCCATTTGTCTATACACCAATAGAAATTCCTTAAGCAGCAATGCTATTGGATCTGCTTGTGCCGTTGCATGGTGAACCTGATTCTTTTTCAATTTTATCCTTTTTACCCTTCCACTTCAGTTTCAACAAAATTAAGGAGGTAATGCAGCACTGCCAGCTGCTTACTCAGCATTGCTGTTGAATATGTCAATTAAGACCTAAGATATTAACAGCTGTGCTGAACCTTATAGGAACTTCTGTAACAGAAGAAGAATACATGCAAAAAAGAAAAATTTGTAAAAAGCAAGTTCTGGCATCTTTTTCTCAGTCACACTTTGTAATATTATCACCTCGTAATATTATCACAGTCAGAAAGGGGACATACTGCCTGTTCCATGGCAATGTTGCAAACCACAGAGGCTCAAAAATGCCTATCTTTGTGCCTTTATCTTGATACTTGGCAGAGGAAGTAGAACTTACACTACGTGAAAAAGGTTCCTTAAAGCAAACACAAGGATACTTCACAGCCTCAGCTGTTTTATTTCCCTGGTCAAAAATACTACTTTGTAACTTAAGGTAGTGGGTTCAATATTCATGTTTCAAAGCTGAAATTACATTATGACTTCAGCAATTATTAAAACTGATTGTATATAAAGAGTAAAATCCTAAGGATATTAGTGTGAAAAAGTTTGCACTCTCACAGAACTAGCAAACTTATTTTGCTAGGTTTATCGTTTACATCGTATGCTTTGTAAAATTATTCTACTTACCCATTTTAAGTGTCATTGATAATAAGTACCTTTAATTAATTAATGATTATAAAGCCAATTTAAGCAGGATGCTCAGCATTTAATTAGTTAACCTGAAAGGCACCTTCTGTCAGAAAGATTCACATAAACAATATTTCTCAACTTACGACTTTTTGTATTCTTCTCTTGAAAAAAAAAAAAGAAGTGTTGGTTTTTTATCTAAGATTTAAAATGCAAGATAATTCTTACCATAGTCACTACCTATACTAGGGGTGTTGGGCTATGGCAAGGGAAGCTAACCTGGGCTGCCGTGACCCAGTCTTCACTCCCACTCCCAATCCCAGATGCACATGCCTGGTGAAAAAGTGGAACCAGACCAGCGAGGCTTCTAGCAGTTTACACTACTCTGCAGCTGTGTCCTACAGATGTCAGCCCCACATATTTGTCTCACACGGAACTATTGTGAACACAGGTTTCCACAAAGTGAAGCTTACAGGTGACCTGTAGTTAAGCCATTGAGATCAAAGTGAGTCAAAAGATATAGAAGAAACTGAATTCACAATGAGTGAAAAGAAAGAAAAGACGTGTCAGAATACAAACTGTTTAAGAGTTCAGGAAATGCATAAATAAAATTTAAACTAAGGAAAGATAAAACCTTGTGCTGAAATTATACAAAATAAATTTTTTGTTTAAGTAAAAGAGATTGGTGACAGCCAACCTGCCTTCATTGAACACCAACTGCACCTAATAAATTTGGTGGCCTTTATAGTATTGCTGGAGAAGGGAAGAACAACTGATGTCATCTACCTGGACTTGTGCTAAGCATTTGACACTGTCCAGCATGACATCCTTGTCTCTAATGAGAGTATAATGTGTCATATTTACTAATAGTGGGAAACAAAGACATTGGTATGCAGAAAAACCTAGGATTCAACAAAATAAGATGTTTGAATAATACACTGAAAATGATCACCGTGTCTTGAAATCGCCATTTAATATGGAGATTTTATATGCATCTTTATTTGTATCTTTTATATGCAAAAGATACAAAATACTTATGTGCAAAACCAAGATTTTTTTTTAACTAAAAGCTTCCTCAGTTGCAAATAACAGATAGAAAAACACAAGGGTATAATTAGTTGCTTTGGTGATAGATGTGAGCTAGTAGTTTTCTTTATAATATTGTTTTTTACTAGGTCCCAAAAAGATTAATCCAAGTGAAAACAAATATAGAAAATGGGTATTATTAAGATAAGCCAGGGAATTGAAAAATACCTGAGAAGCACATAAAAATGTTGCTAGTTCAAATAGCAAAACAAAGAAAAAGAGGGTATATGGCTGCTGTCTAAAAATATATCAGGAGGAATAAACACAAGAAAGAAGGCTATTGTAAGGAAAATATTGGTGCAAGAGTATATGGATCTGTGTTAGACATTGATAAATTTAGACTGGGAGCTATGAGAGTTTCTAACCAGAGTATTGAGGTGCTAAAAAAACCCCAGTAGAAACAGTAGTAATGAAGATTATTTGTTTTAAAATGGAGTTCAATAATATTAAAGGAATTATATTTTGTGGTTGTCTGAAATAACAAGGAACTGGACGAAAGAAAACCTTTCTATTTCTGTAATCATAAGTAAGTCTGGAATCAAATTCAAGCCCCTGCCTTTACTTTTTACTCTTTTTGTATCTATCAAGTACTAGAGGTAATAGTTGTATTTTTACACCAGACTTTGAATTTATTATGCAAAATACTCCTAAAGTTTCAAGATAATTTTTGGCCCAATTTGCCTGGACAAAAATCTGATGGTTAACATTCTAAACTACTTTGCAATTATAAACACTTGTCCTTATTGTTCTAAAATCACTGTTAGACAATTATAATTTGTGTTGCCAAGGGAAACAGGAATCCACCTGCCTAGTTGAGTAAAAAAGAGAATGGGTCAATTTGGATTGAACCCCTCACCATTTCCAAATCTGGCAGAGCTTGCAGTTCAGTAGGAAATATAATACATTATTATGCATTAAGAAAATATCCAGCTGGAAACAGCCTTAAATAATATAAATCAACCTGAAAAATATAAATTAACCTAAAGAATCATTTGTAAGAACTATATTTATTTCAAAATATAAATGCAGATTCTATGCTAGTGACTTTAAACAGACACTGCATCTAATTAAATAGAAATTGAACATTTTAAATTTAATAGCCATAGAAAATTCTTACCTTCTTTATAGCACTTCCACCACCCTGTGGAAGAGGAAAATGTTCATCCAGGAATTCACCCAGTGCACTCAGCAGTTCTCTCTTATAGGTCTTTAATTTCAACATTTTATTTTGCAGTTCCTCCAATCCTCTAATTTTCAAACAGTAAAAGCATAGCAATAGAGTATGAAATCAAATAAAATACCTTGAAAGCTCTTCACAAGTAAAAAAAACCCTCAAATTCAGTTCTTATAAACACAACATCTTGAATGACAGGATATAATAGCAATATTTTCCATATTTCAAATCTGGATTACTGAGCAATTATTTGAACTATTTTATCAAAACAAAGAGTATGTTTTAAGAATTTGTTTGTTCATTTGCTCCTGTTGATATTTAAATTCTTCAGTATAAAAACTCAACAGTGTAGAAATACCTTGTTTCATGAAGTAGTTCAACTTGGGGTTTTGTCTCTTCTTCAATTCTGTTAAGAGTATTTAGCACCTGTTCCTGTTCCTCATACCACTGCTGCTCTCTTTGAAACATGAAAAGCAGGAAATGGCACAACAGAAAAATAGTTTCTCTGGGTAGTCAAAAAAAACAGTTTACAGCATTCTAAATTCCAAATTATTATATTACCTTTCCAGATCTTCTTCTAGTTGTTTATTCTTTGAGCAAACTACTGATAGCACCTTTTCAAGATCATTCTTTATTTTCTGCAACTATAAAAAAGTAAAAATGAAACTACAGTTTGCAGGTAGCCCCATCTATGTAAGGCTACATCTGTAAATCTAATACAGAAGGCCAATATGATCTGCAAATTCTTAAGAAATATGGCTATAGTGTTGACACGCTATTTCAGAATCCAGTTTAAAATGCAAGAGGCTCTTTAAAATGTTACTGTCACGAGTTGCTCATTAGTGCCTTACTGAAACTCTGGAAAACAACATAGTTAATTTCACCTGAAGCAGATTATGGAACACACACATGAACTGCTCAACTGATGAATGACTGAGGAAAAAACGTCTGCAGCACCAGGGCTGTACTGTCTGAATCACTGCAACGGCTTGCAGGAATGAATCCATGCTAATTGCACTAACATAAAAAGTACAGAAAATAAAGATGCTGCAAAAGAGACTAATTGCATACATGATTTAAATGGTCCTTGATGCTATGGACATATCTGGGAGAGGAAAGAAGGAGAAATAAAACTACTGTCGCCAGAAGCTATAGGCACTGCTGAATCTAGGGAACAGTGGACTCTCAGTGGGCTGGGTCCTTCATTACAGAATGGGTAAGGCTGTGTTGAGGAATACATTCAGGGCAGGTAGCCTGGTGTGCAGCTGCATTGCAAGCTGCTGGTTGAGCCCCTGGGGGCTGGAGTCGAAGCCTGAGCCAAGACAACACCATGAACTGCTGACCCTTGCATAACAGAGGACCCAGGGGACCTGTGGGCCAGCCAGAAGACCTGGACACTGAGAGTCTCCCCAAGAGCCGATGACTCCCTGACTCCCAGACTTTCCAGGGTTTGAACCAAAAAGGGATAAAAGCTCAGGGTATTAAGGTATTAAAGTTCTGGGTCTCTCCTCAGAGGCACCCTTTGAGCTGTTATTTTGTTATTATAGCACCATTATTAAATTATGTTAAGGATCTGGGCATCTGAGACTCTTCTGTGGGAAACCTGAGGTCGAGCCTCAGGTAAGGATTCCTTACTAAGGAAGGAATAACTAAGGAAACCTATCTTAAGGGCAGGTGTCAGAGGATGGGGTCAGGCTCTTTTGAGTGGTGCCCAGTGATAAGACAAGGCGTAACAAGCACAAACTTGGAACATAGGAAGTTCCATTCCTGAAAATGAGGAAAAATTGCTTTAATGGAGGGTGAGCACTGTAACAGCTGCCTAGGAAGGCTGTGGAGTTTCCTTGTCTGGAAATATTCAAAAGCCACCTGGACATAATCCTGCGAGGCACTTAGGGATGGGGTTCAGTGGTGGATTTGGATTGTAGGACAGAGGCAAAATACCATTTATTGTGTGTTACTCACTGACTTGTGCAGTAAGTCAGTTTAAAAGCTCATTCATTACAACTAGAAAATTTTAGTAGTTATAATAATGGGGAAATAACCAATTAGAACAACAACAATGCCTGAAGGAAAATACACAGTATCTTAGCAGTAGTCTATTCCAAGAACAGTCACAGGAAAATGTGGCAATTTTATATAGTTTTTCTTTTTTTCCCAACAAAAACTTATTATCTCTTAACAAATAAAAATACTTACCTCTTCTTTTCCTAATTTAAACAGTACATCTGGATTAGGAGAAATTGCTAAAAAATAAAATGGGATTTTTTTGTCATTGAATGATAAAGACTTATTTAATACTGAAAAGCAGCCCAGCTAGAGAAACTTGTGTAGGCTTTAAAAAACCAGTCCGTCTGTCAGCATCAGTTTAACCTCATTCTGTGGTGTCCTGCTGTGCTAACCTACTATCACGATTCAGCAAGTTAAACTAGACTGAAAAAAGTGCAGTGTTAATGCCCCTGTTATACAGTGCAATTATAATCCTCTGAACTAGCCCCAGGTATATAGGCATAGGTACATAACGACTGTACATCACATTTAAATATACTTCAAGATAACCAAGCCTGATTTTTTTCAGCAGATGGCATTCCATCAACATTACCAGTATGGGCAATCAGACTTCTCCAGTCTTCCAATTCTGTGTTAAACAGCCTTCCAAATGCTTTACCAGGACTATAAATTCTACCATTTTTAAGAACTTCAAAAGCATGTCCCCATCCCTTTTTCTGTTCACAAGAACCACTAGATGTAGGGAGATGAAAGGCCCAGCAATACCAACATCCTAAATCTAACACTGAGCAACAACAGTACTTAAGGGAAGGCATGGTACAATTTAAGGACATGGAAATGTTTCCCTGGAATGCTTCTGCCAAATGCACTGATTTATGGATCATGGATTTTCAAAATAAAAAGAGAACTGTTGTATTTTACAGCCTTCAATGTACACCAGTCAATTCTCACTTCCATGTCAACTTCCAGCATCTGCATAAAAGTACAACTTATTTTTAAAGTGAACTATTTGAACACATTAACAGGAGAAATGAAAGCTACTTTAACAGATTTGAATCTTAATATGTCAGGGATTTTTTGGTGAAAGTTTGGGCTTCAAATCTCTTAATCTTAAAAATAATTATTTAAAAAAAAAGTTTCCTTTCACAAAAAGGAAAACCCTTAACCCTTTCCTGAAAGCACTAAACATCTCCTAAATACATACTGTTGATTTCATAAATTTAGAAAAGTACTTTTTTTGGTAATGTTACAGTTTTTACCTGAACAAATTTTAAAAAGCTTTAGATGAGTAGTTTTAAAAGCAGTGCTTGTTCTGAGATGAAAATCAGAAAAATTACTTAGTTAAAAATACACTAAATTATGTCTCAATAAAATCTCTTTTACTTAGGCAATTACTGTTTCTAAATATTGACACAAAATTTGACCAGTACACTGCCAAATTAAGCTTAAGAGCTGAAGGAGGTAGTGGTCTGTGCTATTATTAGAACAATATTTCTTTAATTACATGCATATCCTACACCCCATAATAAAACTCAATGGTAAATTTTGATTCCCATTCACAGGTGTATTTGAAGAAACCCATACAACTCTTCCTCCTTCAACTTCCTGCTGACATTATTATTATAAGCCCTCACTTATCAATTATTCTCAATCTCTACTATTGGCTTCTAACACTTCCTCATTTTTTAGATACCTAATCCTGAGTTCATGCTTCCTGTTCAATATTCATACTGAGTGAGTATCAGAATAGAAGGTCACATCTTTCTGAGAAAGAACCACTAACTGTAATATAGTGAAGGAACAATGTAGATCTGAGACACTGGGGCAGTGCATTTACAGCTGCCACTGTAAAGTCACTGGTTGTTTTATCTACAGATTAGGCTTTTTCAGTTGTAGAATCACTACACTTGCAAAAATCAAATGTCACACAGAACTGTCTAGTGATAATTACCAAGCAAAATACTACCAGATGCTAGGAAAGTAAAAGCCACTACCGTGCACATGTTTACATAAACTCCTATTAAAAAAAAAAAAAAAAAGCATTTGGCAGAATACTGTTATTTTGCAAAGAAAAGAGAAATTACACAGAGACCATAATTGTTTTATATGGTTTAAAATATGGTTGCTTTAATTTCCTTATCTTGCAAAGGTAAAAGTTAAATTCTATTTTTATAAATCAAATGCTTTTTAAAAATGTTTAAATTCAGCTGATTTAGTAGATGTAGAGCTATATAAATAGCAGCAGAGATAAAGTGAAAGCTTTGCAAAAATAAAATTTGCATCGTGAACTCAAGTCTGTTTGCCAATATTTTGCTCAAAAAAATGTAGAACTGAACAAGTCATAACCTCTGAAAATAAGGTTTAAAACTGAATGCTGACAGGCCCTCATTTATAGGAAATGAACTGGCCACTACTAAAAACAGAAACCACAGTAAGACAGCCTGACATCCATGTTCTATTAATAAATTGTATGAAATCAGTATTTATGCTATTTTGATTTAGATAATTTCAGATAATGCTTTCAATTAAGTAATTCAAGACAAACAGTAGGTACAAAAAAGACGGAAAGAGAAGTAAGCAAAGTAGACTTCTCATTTTCATATAAGCACTATAACTATATATATTCAAATTCTTAGCAGCAACTTCTTTTTAGTTCTCTTGGAAAAGTAGCCAAAAAAGGCAAAACTTTGGCTGCAAATTATTATTTGCATTACGATAGGCATAGATAATTTCTCTATTAAAAACTAATAATAAATATTTTCATCTAAGAATAAGTAAAAATAGTTGAACAAAGCTAGTCAGCAAGCCAAAAAACTAGGTCAAGCCCTAAGGATATTTTTAAGCCAATAACTTAAAGTTTACTATATGTATTTTAGTAAGGAAATTTAACAACACCAGGTATTTCAACCCAGTAAAAACGAAGTGCTTTCAATTAATTTGCTTTAAGCCAGCATCTTATTCATAAACAGCAGCAAGGAACCAGTATGTCCTAAATTCATTCAGTGCCATACTTTTGGTCTACATACCTCTCAGAAGTTTTTGAGGCCAACAATTCTTGAAGACAGACTTATAAAGCTGAATTACTAATTTATTCTAATAGGGCAACAATATCTATTTGTAAGAAAGAAAAACTATTTTCTCCCAGCTTCTCTTAATTTGATCATGATATGCAGCAAGTACACGGACTTTGACAGAAGCTGGAGAACTGTCTTTAATGTTGACCTGAAAAGGCTTTTCCATTAGGCCAAATGACAAAACATTGGAATTCACCACGGGTTGTTTAAAGCACATTCCTAACATTTTGTAAACACCAAAAAACCAAGCCTGTTATGGCTTAAAATATTCAAATGAGCCAATGTATTAATTTAAAGATTAGCTATTAAGTTTTACTGGGTTGACAGGTGCTAACAGGTCCTTGAAGTGAGGGCCACCAGAATACTAATGACAATGTAGTGTGAACTGCTTTAAGAGCCTCCAAATGGGACATCTGAAAACAGAGATTACTTTACTCGCACTTCAATTTTGAATGGTTTTATTTCCAGTCTCTGGCCACATCAGCCTTGCCAGAGAGAGAAATCAGTCAGCACTGTTGCTAATGTAAAAAGAGAATTTTGAAGAACTGATGAATTTATACCTTGTGACTGAAAATGCTTAACAAATATAAGAAAACACTTGCAGTTTGTGCTTCTCAGGATCAATAAGTGTCCTGGATTCCTGTTTTGTTAAAATAAAACTCTAGTGTCTTTTACCATCTTATCTTGAGCTGAAATCTCCAATCCCTGTTAAACCCAAAACAGGTACTTTATTATGGTGTAATGGGTTTAACACCAAAGGTCTACTCCAAAGTTTCAACTAATACATCATAATACAACACACTTGTGGGAAGTATTAGTAAAAAATTATTCAGAGGAGGTATAGTTAAAAATATACCTGGGCAAATTATTGTTAGCTTATTAGCAATACTTGCAAAGATAAAAAAATGTAACAGATTCTTAAAAGATAAGATGAAGACAATATTATTTGATAAAGTAGTTCTGTTCTAAAAAGGAAACACAAATGAAAGATGGAGAAGAAACAATCACACAGAGAAGGAGGATAACAGCATAATGGACTTCTGTTATTTTGTTAGATTTGCTAAGAGTTATTTTTCCACTTAACTGACTGATGAATAGTGGTATAAATCATGCATTTATTTGTGCAGAATTATAAGATTAGGTTATAGAGGAAATCACTTTTAAGTCAACTTAGAACCAAAGTGCAAAAAGAATAAAGAAATTAAACATGCGTGCTACTGTGCCAAGTACTTTATTTTTAAGTAGTATGAAAACACAATCAGCAGACATTCAGCACACCAACAGTTTCAAGTGCCTAAGTGAAAGAAACTGCAGAGGTTTATGTAATCATCCTTTACAGGGAAGCAGTTACTTACTTTCAGGACTTCTCTCATGCCACTCTTCCAAATCTCCTGTTAAAGCTTTCCATTGCAGCATTAACATGGCAAGCTGTGTAACAAGAAAAGAAGCATCTCTTGAAGTGTTAAGTTGCACTGGTGTAAAATGAGGTAGAACAGGATAGAAGTTAAATTAATAACTTCATACAATAGAAAACAGAAGAGCATGTATTGCAATCAGAGCACTTATTCCTTTAAAATATTTTAAAGTCACTCCCAGGGATAAAAACCATTTATATTATTTTTTCAAAATAGGGAAATGAGAAGGAGTCAGAGTTGGCATTTTTCCCCTGATTTTCTTTGTAATGACTACAACTAAAGAGGAGCTACGAGAAGCAATGACAAATACTTCACATCCTCTCTTCTCCTTCATGGCTGAACTTGCTCATCTCACAGTTGGACAATATGGCCAGAAGGACACTATGATGGACAATGTCAGAATGACTCTTACTAAGAAGAATTTACATAGGCACTGATTAGGAAATAGTCCAAATAGGTATTGAAGTTACATATCTCTCCATTTTGCTGCCTATGTTAATCATTAATTAGTTGTGTACTTCAAAGTTAGTAAATCTGTCCTTATCTCAACCCTTGAGGCTTCAGTTATATTTCCTCTCAAATGTCCAGCTGACAGGGGAATAAGCAGCTTTAGTGGGCATCTGGTGGCCAGACAGGTCAAACCCACCACAGATGCACTGAGGGCCCTAAGGGAACTGGCAGATGAAGTGGCAAAGCCACTATCCATCGTATTTGAAAAGTCACAGCAGCCTGGTGAAGTTTCTGAACATAAAAGGGTGCACATAACCCTTATTTTTAAAAACAGAGAAAGAGAGATCCAGAGAACTACAGATTTGTCAGTCTCATCTCTGTGCTTAGCAAGATCATGGAACAGACCCTCCTGGAAAATATGCTGAAGCACATGGAAAATCAGAAGGTGATTGGTGTTAGGCAATGTGACTTCGCTAAGGGCAAATTGTGCCTGACAAATTTGGTGGCCTCCTGTAACAGGATTACAGCATTACAGGATAAGGGCAGAGCTACTGATGTCATCTATGTGGACTTGTGCAAAGCATTTGACACCGACATCCCTGTCGCTAAACTGGACAGACATGGATTTGAGACAGATCACCAGGTGGGTAAGGAACTGGCTGGATGGTTACTCTCAGAGGGGCAGTCAACAGTTCAACGTCCAGGCAAAGACAAGTGATGAGTGGCAATCCTCAGGGGTTGTTTTAGAGACCAGCACCATATATGATCTTTGTTGGCAACATGGACAGTGGGATCCAGAGCTGCCTCAGCAAGTTTGCTGACACCAAGCTCTGTGATGCAGTCAACGTGCTGGAGGGAAGGGATGACATCCAGAGGAACCTGGACAGAATTGAGAGCTGGGCCTGTGCAAAACATGAAGTTCAACAAGCCCAAGCATAAGGTCCTGTACCTGGGGTCAGGACACCTGGTATCAATACAGGCTGGGGAATGAATGGATTAAGAGCAGCCCTATCAAGAAAGACCTGGGGATCCTGGTGGATGGAAGGCTGAATATGACCCAGCAATGTGCTCTTGCAGCCCAGAAAGACAACCATGTCCTGGGCTGCATCAAAAGCAGTGTGGCCAGCAGATTGAGGGAGGGGATTCTGCCCCTCTACTCCACTCAGGTGAGACTCCATCTGAAGTGCTGCAATCTCTCTCCTCCTCTGAAGACAGGCTAGGAGAGTTGACGTTGTTCAGCCTAGAGGAGGCTCCAGAAAGACCTTAGGGCAGCCTTGCAGTATCTGAATGGTACTTGCAGGCCTAAAAGAACGCTGGAGAGGGACTACTTACATGAGCATTTTAGTGATAGGGCAAGGGGCAATGGTCTTAAGCTGAAAGAGGACAGGTTTAAATTAGATATTAGGATGAAATTCTTTTTTACTGTGAGAGTGCAGAGACACTGGAGCAGGTTGCCCAGAGCAACTGTGGATGTCCCATCCTAGAAGGGTTCCAGACCAGCACTTCACTAACCTAGTGAAAGGTATCCCTTCCTATTCCAGGGGTGCTGAAAATAGATGACCTTTAAGGTCCTTTCCAATCCAAGCCACTCTATGATTCTATGTTCTTTACAGAAAACAAAGTATTTAGTGGAAAATAAAAAAAAAGAAACCAAACAAATGTCTTACCTTGGTATCTGATTGTAGCAGTGTTTCTAATTCTAGAAACATTAGCTTGCTTTGACACTTGGTAGAAAAGAAACAAAACACAAACAACGTTTGTTTACTCTTTCCCTTTGTAAGAACAGAACAGAACACAATGCTCAGAAATTTCAACATAACTTTTTTAATATAGGAATAAAAGAGTTGTGACTTGGATCCAACCACATCCCTCAGATCCTTACCTAGAATAGCAAATTAAGAAATATTTTGAAATTGTACCACAGTAAAGCAGAACTTAATTAACTGGAAAGTAGAAAAGTAGCAGCTAAAAAAAAAAGATGTATCACTAGAGTAAGAAGGCAAGTTATGAGGGAAAAGTTCGTATCACAAAGTCACTGGTCAGATGAAGAACATGAGAAAATAGGAAGAAAGTCATGGACAAAGCTGCTGAGAAGTTAACACACTTTCTGCTACTCGTCTGGCTCTTTAAAGACATTAATCCCATTCTAATACACATTTTTAAGTCATTTAGGGCAGTACACTGCACACTTCAGAAATGGTCTGATTTTCAGAAGTGCACTACATCAGTTCCCATGATTGGAATGGGATGTATATGCAGTCCGAAATTCAGGCCACCAAGACATCCAAGGCTTTGACAGGAGACATCCACTGAACTCTTTCTTGTTTTATAACTGTCAGCAATCCAACCCACCCCACAACAGGGCAGGATGTACTCTACTAAACAGTAAAACTACTAACTTTGGAAACCTTGTTGTTAATGTATGGAAACCAGAACACAACACAGGATTTTTCCTACAAAAACTGCTAATGGTATCACACAGTCATTCAAACATTACATTGTAACTATATAACCCACGATCCCATTCAATGACTATTTGTTGTTTAAACTTCTTTCTGAAATGTTTGCATCCAGAATGAAAAGTCAAAGTAATGAAAATCCTACAGTTTTTATCAACTTCCAAAAACAACAGACATTATCACTTCCTGTATTATTTTGGGGATGACGGGAATGAGATACAAGATATCTAATACTTTCAATTAAATTCAAAATGGCATTCTAACTTCTCTTCTAATTTGAAAATTTCAAAGAAAAATTCAGGTCCTCCAAATACAACTTCAGAAACTCAGACATAAAATTCCCTGCCACTTGTTAAATGCGAACTTACCTTAATACTTAATAGGAAATAAAATCATATTAGTATTTTTAAATCTAATTCTGTAAAATTATTGCACTGTGAGTTGTCTGTACATTGTTCTACTTTAAGTTTGGAAATATCTTTACTTCCATTTTTGAAATTTTACTGTTTTGAACCTACAACTCAGAAATCAAGCAGATAGCATGTAAGAACCATATAAAATTGAGTGTAGCAATTAAGACTCCAAAAATATAATTTAGAAGATGACCTTTCATGGGTCTTGGCACAATCTTACAGAACGCACAGCATTCCCTCAGAACTGACAGAAGTTCATCTTTCCTGGGATTCCTTAAATAAAACTGATCTGCCCTAAAATGTTATTATTAGCATATTGTACCATATATCAAGAGAGATAAATTTTAACCATGATGATAAAACTGTCAGTTTGGATAAGCATTTTGAAACATCTTTGTCCTTCTATGCCTTTCCTCCTATTCTCTCCTTTAAGCTCCAAACTACTTGTGAATGGCACTGGAATCCCATCTTGTGTGAGGCTAAAGAGAGAAGGACCTCAAGTCTCAGTGTGCTGGTTACTACCACAACATAAGTGAACAGTTTAATTTTCCCTAATTTAATACATACTCCACACTAACTAAATCATAACATTAGCATATTGTAAACAACCTTGGAATGCAAGGCATCCCTTACCCCTGACAGCACACCAACCATTGGCCTTGTTATTCTTTTTGTTTTATTGTGGTGTTTCTTTGGAGGCAATGGGGTGAATTGCACACATTGAATAAAATAATTCTCACAAAAGTTTACAGCAAATCTAGTCTATCACTTTTGGTTTGCATACCTCTTCCAACTCCTTCCAAATACTGGTACATTCCTTCAAGAGTTCTTCCTTGGCATCTACAGGACAAAATTGACAGGTGGTTTCTTCACTGGTAGATTTTGCATTGATGGTTTCCTCCTAATTACAAGCAAACAGAACAGTTATTGTGTATATCTACAATAATTACCAGTTACAGAATCATACCTGCCGCTGCAGATCAAATATGCAACAGAACAATCATCCCGAATGCAAAGCTTTCCATTAACCCCCCTGTAGTTCTAGATAGCACCCAATCATTATGTAAAATCAGCTAACTATATGACTATAGTACAATTAGAAGACACTAATAATTTACATTTAAAATTGAACCACAAAATACTGAATTTTCAAAACTGCTTTGATTACCTGCAATAGCTTTTTTATTTTTCAATAACTTTAATACAGAAACAATAAGAGAATCTCACATCTACAAAGCCATGCTTTTCCTCCATATATCTGCAAAATTCTTAAGCAGTTACTTCTACTCTGTCTTCCAATAAATGTCCTAATCTACTTCTCCTTCATTAGAATTCAGAATATTTTTCATTAACAAATAAAAGCATTCTCAAAATTACCAGAAAAACAAACAAAAGAATCTGAAAAATATACAGGCAACCAAGGAAAGAGGGCACCAGGACATCTGAGAGAAAAATTAATCCAAGTTAAATTAAAAACCTTGAGAAACTGTTAGGTCAGAGAGAAAAACACACAGATTGAGAAATTTACTCCTAGTTAAATCTATTAAGAGATACCCAAATGACAACAGCAGCTAAGAGGGGAAACACAAGAAGGGCCAAAATGGCACTCAAAAGAAAGTTTTTTCCCCAAGCTAAAATATCCAACAAGATGTGTTGTCCAGATATACTAGATGCAGGCAGCCTTTAAAAATGTTTAAGCGGATCACTAAGTCCACAACACACATGTATATTAAAGAGATTAAAAAAGGTAAAGATCTAAAGGAGAAATATACATCTCTTAATAATGCACAAATTCCCAACTCAACCTTTTGTTCATTTTCAGAACAAAAACACTACATCAGAGAAAAATATGTCAAAACCCCAAATAAATTAAAAGGAGTCAAATATTTAGCTAGTACTCCCAAAGTTCAAGTATGCCATAGAAGAGTGGATGTGGAGAAAAAAAATCAGAATATCTCACTGAATGCTGGAACTATTCTAGAGTACTGAAAGGTAGCAATACTTCTACTAATCTTCCTGGGTAATTTATTGCATCGATAATTAAAAACAGAGCCCTAGAAAATCTAGGTTGCCATAATCTGGTAAAGTCTAAAGAGCATAGTTTTTCAAAGGAAAATCATTATCTTCTTAAAAGCCTTGGAATGTTTCCATAATATAAAAGAGAACTAGTTCACATAATTTATTAAGACTTCTGAAATGCCTCAAGCAGACTGTCCAGAAGAAACTAAGAAAGAAAGAAACTAAACAGCCTTGAGATGTAATGTACCTTTTTTCGCAGTCAAAAAAAAACTGTCAAGGAGATAAACAAAGGGGATGTGGGGGGCGGGGGGGAAAGGGTTGAAAAGGGTTTTGGGTGGAATAAAACAAACATACCCCCCCCCCCCCCCCCGTTCCCTGCAGTAGTGCAATGCACCATAGAAGCATTCTATGAAATAAAACTCTGAATACACAGCCAGGAAAAAATCCACTGTACAAAAAAAATGATGAAATGATTCTATTCTTGACTTCAAATTTCTAGATTTCACACAACGTTTCATAATGTACATATTGTGAGATATAACAGGCAATTCATATTGACTTGAGATCCTTCATGCTGTGCTCTTACATAGTGCACACACTGGAGTATCATATTCAGATGTTTTTTTCTTGTAGCCTGCAGTTTTTCCTATTTCTGTATGGTTAAATTTAGGTTTCTATTTTTACACCATACCAGAAAACTGAAGGCTTTTTTGGTGTGTCACGACTATTAACACATTCCAGTTTCAACATGTTATTCATTCTGATCTTGTTTTAGGACTACATAACTACGTAAAACTACATGCAGGGCCAAGTGTGCATTGTAGACCCTATGCCAGCCAACCAAACATGTAAGCTTTAGGAAAGCGACAGAATCACGTAATCGGTCAGATTAGGAGGGACCACAGAGGGTCATCTGGTTCCAACTCCCTTTTCGTAGGGCACGTTGCACAGGACTGCGTCCAGACGGTTTCTGATTATCTCCAGTGAGAGAGACTGCACACCCTCCGGGCAACCTATTCCAGTGCTCGGTCACCCACACAGTAGAGAAGTTCTCCAAATTCAGATGGAACTTCCTGTGCATCAGTTACTGCCCATTGCCTCTCGCCCTGGAGCTTGGTACCCCCGAGAAGAGCCTACATCCATCCCTCTGGCACTCTCCCTTCAGATACTTATAGACACTCATGATCTGAAATGCGTCATATGCCCAAACACAACACGACCAACTACGGGAAGTACTCAGGGAACAGAGAGGAAGGTAACCGCGGCCGCGGGACAAAGGCAGGAAGGCGGGAATTCACCTTAGGAGGGACAACAGATGCAGGACAGAAAAAACACTGCAAAAGCGATGACAGAAAAAAAGATGAAGTGAGACAGGGAGCACCCGCACGACCCGAGCCGGGGGGAGGCACAAGGCGGGCGGTCTCCCCTCACGGGCGAGGGGGGAATGCCGCCCCTTCCCAGGAGGGAAAAGCCAGCGCGTCCACCGCACGGCAGCCGCACGCCGCGGCGACCGCGATCCCACGCCGGCCCCGCGGTGCCCCAGCGGCAGGGCCATCCCGGGATCCCGCCGGGATCCCGCCGGGACTCCCCGCTGTTCCCAGCCGTTATTACCATGGCAGGTCCCCGCGCGCCGCTCCTCACCCTCGGCGTCACTGGCCGAGCGCCCGGCGGGGCCCGCGCAGGGGGCGGCGCGCGGCGGTGACGTAGCAAGATGGCAGCGGCCGAGCAGGGGAGCAAACGAAGGGTCCCGGAGGCGGCGGCGGGCGAGGAGCAGGGGGAGAACGAGAACGACGAGGAGGAGCGCTGGGTCGGGCCGCTCCCGGGGGAGGCCGCGCAGGCGAAGAAGAGGAGAGGTAATGGAGGAGCGGAGCGTCCACCGGCCCGCCCCTGCGCTGGGGAGCGCTGCCCCGGGCCAGGTCCGGAGCGGGGGGAGGGGCCCCGGCGGGAGCGGCGGCGGGGGAAGGGCAGCTGGGCCCATGTGCTCTGTAGCGGGGTCTCCCGTGCGAAGTGGCCACGCTGGGGGGGAACCCTTCAAGTGCGGAGTCACAGCCCAGGGCCATCAGGGGCTGAGAAAATTGGGGCTGTTCAGCCCGGAGAGGAGGAAGTTGCTCGGAAGCTCAGAGCAACCTTCCATTGTGTGAAAGGGGTTACGGGACAAACGGAGAGGGACTCTTCGTTAGGAACTGTAGTGACAGAACAAGGACTAATGGGTTCAAATTGAAAAAGGGAAAGTTTAGGTTACATATTAGGAAGAAAATATTCATTGTGATGGTGGTGAGATACTGGAACAGGTTGTCCAAGAAGGTTGTGGATGCCCCAACCGACAGTATTCAAGTCCAGCTTGGAAAAAGCCTTGAGCAGCCTGGTCTAGTGGGAGGTATCCCTCCCTATAGTAATGGGGGTTGGGACAAGGTGATCTTTAAAGTCCTTTCCAACCCTTTAACATTCTGTGATTCTGTGATTTCTTCTTACTCTGGTGGACATAATCAGGCTGAGAGCGCCTGCTGTGCAGACTGAAGCCTTGCTTTTTAGGCCTGTGGAGTTCATATGTTTTCTGGATCATTGTCCTAAAATGGATATGCCTCTAGGCTATATTTTATGGCATGGTATTGATGACTGCAGCAACTCTCAGGTTTTCAGGTGTCATTGTAAAGTAAATGTACCTCTAATGATGTTCAGCCCATGGAGGTTCAGTAACAAATGCCATTTGCAGGTGTTAACAGGGTGTAAGAATCAGACACAGAAGCCAAAATCAGATTATTTTGGGTGGGCCAATTAAACAGTGAAAGAGATAGGTGTCAGCACTTGAACTTTAAACTACAAGACCTGTATGGGACCATGAATCTCTTAACAACAGGAATACATTTTGTTTTGGAATATAATGAGGTGGACCTTCTGTTTTCTGGAAGTAACTTAAAAATTGTTGTTTTTTATTTTTTTAATATATTGACAGCTGAGGTAATAGTTGCTTTAAAAGGGAACAGCAGTAGAGTTAAAGCAGAGTTTGAGTGGTTTTAGTCCACTAAAAGTTTGTTTATAAAAGTTTGACTGAGTGCAAAGCGAGATCTAAAAGCCCTTTTATTATGTTTGCACAAAATCCTAGCATATTTTAGACTAAAATATGAAGAAGCAATTCAAGTAAGGGAGAACAGAAGCTGTACCTTTATGGGAAAAAAACCACCTTCCTGTTTTTTTCTTTTTATTCCGTGTAGTTCTTGAATTTGAACATGTTTACCTTGAAAATCTACCATCTGCTTCAATGTATGAACGCAGTTACATGCACAGAGATGTCATTACACACGTAGCATGTACTAAGTAAGTATCTTTTTTTCCATGCTATTTCTTTGTCAGGGATATATTTTTATATATGATAAGAAGTTTTCATTTTAGATGTTTAGTAATGGAAAGTTACAGTGTCCTGAAATGCTATTTTAAAAGTTTTGTTGTTTTGTTTTGTTATTTTTTTAAAACTGAGTGCAAAGGAAAGGTTTACTTAGAAGGAAGATAAGAAATGTTTATAGACTAAAGGAGGGTCTTAAAATTCTTATCAAAATGTGCAGGATATACAGGAATAAGATTGACTGACTGCCTCTGAAGAAGCACCATTCAGCAGAACCATACGCGCGCCCACACACACACATAAATAGTAGCTACTGGGCACTAAAATAGGAGTTATATTTACATATTCAAAAAGGATAGTGTTACGATTTTTCAGGGTGTTAACTTTTCATAGATTAATCCAGAATGCATTAAAATAGTTGTTTGCCTTTCCAGGAGTGCTAGTTCCCATTCAGACAGATTATCACAGTAATTTCTTGAAAGCTCATCCTCTACAGAGTATTTATTCTAGTGCAAATTACTGACCAGTGGGAGACTGCATAACGTGTTATCTCTTTTCTTGTTTTTCATTTTAGGACAGATTTTATCATAACAGCCAGTCATGATGGACATGTAAAATTCTGGAAAAAAATAGAAGAAGGGATTGAGTTTGTTAAACACTTCCGAAGTCATCTGGGTGAGAAGTTGCTTTTCTTCTTTAAAGAGCCTTGCTTTTTCCTCCCCACTGATTTTGTTGTTTGAAGAGGGAGTGCAAATAGAGAGACAGATTCTGGGGTTCATTTAGTACAGTCAGGAATTAATTGATATCTAGCTGTCTTCCTTCATTCCTCTGTCCTGTAATGTTTTGCTCCCAAACTGCAGGAGGGATAGGGTGAGAATAAACCATGTATGACTCTGCTTGCACAGATCCCCTACATCCTTTGCATTGCCTTGTGCCCTGCCTGTGGGGAAAATATCTGGGACATAACTTAGCAAGGTACATAACAGGATTCATGAAATCCAGAGAAGTTTAAAAATATGGTGCTTTAAATAAGGTTGTAATTTTTCTCCCTTGTGGTAAGGAAAAAAGTACGTTTTTTTCATATAGAGTTATTGTAACTGTGGAGTAAATTCTACATTATCGTTATGATCATTGGCTGAATTGCAATTAAGAGTAATTTTAACCCAATTTTCTAAGCTAATAAGTACATAAAGTTCTTCAACGCTGTGCTGAGTGTAAATAGGCTGAAAAGAAAATGGGGTTCTTGATGGTGTTGGAAATTATCATATACCTGAAGGAAAAAAACATCAGTTTGATATGCTGACTGTTACAGTAAGTAAAGTATTTAATAATAGGTAGTAATAGTACTTTTAGTTTCCTTTTAGATTTGCAAAAAATATTAAAGTAGGTTCTTGATCTTAACTATCAGGTTCTCATTATATACAGAAGCAAAATGTGAAAACAAAATTTGCCAGGCAAAAATAAGCATTATGAGAAATTTATGGAAGGCTCAGTTGCAGCTTAATTTTGAATATTGTGGGTCTAATAGTCTACAGAGTTCTGCTTCTTCTACTCTGCTGAGAAATGCAAGCTGAAGAGCACCTAAGTTTTACTACAATATAATATTCTCAATTTTATAAAATCAACATTTTAAATTGAAGTAATTGCCATTATAATCTTTTCCTTATGTAGTAGTTCATTGTCATATACCTGAGTCAAAACAGGGCACAAAGTGGTGGTTTGGGATTTTTTTTTTTAATAGTAATTTACTAGATTCAAGTAGTGTATTAAGTAAAAAAGGTAGCAAAGCAGTTGGGAGGCTTAAACTTCTGTAGGTTTTTCCTGTGTAATATTGAAATGAAGGATGTCCTTTCTCATTTCTTAATGGTATGTTAACCTTATTAACAGGTGTTATTGAGAGTATTGCTGTTAGTTCAGAGGGAGCATTGTTCTGTTCAGTTGGAGATGACAAAGCAATGAAAGTGTTTGATGTAGTCAACTTTGACATGATCAACATGCTGAAACTTGGGTAAGTTACTTAGTTTGGAAGTGTTTGAGATTATAAATGGGGATCATTTTGCTAAGAGGTAAGTCAATAATTTGGAGGTTTTAATGTTTCTCCCACCCCCCCACCAAAGTTAGTTGAAGCTGAGTAAATTTCATTGTCTGAAATTAATACAATGGCTGGAGACTGCCTGACTAAATAGAAAAAATTGTGACTGTCTGCAACACTACAAGAGAGGAGTAGGAAAGGCATTTCCTCAGTCTCAAATGTTATATACCAAGATATGGTGTTTCTTAAATGTTTAGCCAGGCATAATTTTTTTCTGTTGTTTGGCACTAAATTTAAAAATTACAGTCCACTAATAGTTCCGTTAGAGAAGGGATTTGGCCTGTATGTATTTTCTTATTTGTTGTCATAGGGATATGGATTTCCTTCCTCTGCTAGAAACAATGTAGTTGTTTTCCTTCCTCTTGCTCTTGTAGCATTTTTGTAATTGCATAGTTTGTAGCTAAAGGATCTGGGAGAAAAAAGAATGGATGTTACTGGATTATAATAATACCAGAGAAAAACAAGCCCTACGTTGTTATGAGGGTGGGTTTGAAGGTTTGGAGGATCAATGAATGCTGCATCAAGAATGGTAGAAATACTGATTTTTTCACAAGTCTTTTGGCATTGAAAAACTTATTCCTCGTAATCTACTATTTTCTGTTTAATTGTGAAACTGAATAGAAGTATAAATTTAGAGAAAAAAGCTTGTGCTATCTTCTTTGCTAGTTACAGTTTTAGTATCATCCTCCAGAAAATGTACTTAGCCTATAGGAATTGATTTTCTCTTGGCTGTCTGCTGCGGAAAAATTCCAGTTAGCTTTTGTCTTTTGGTTTTGCTGGTATTTCCTACTTAGCAGCCTGGTGCTGTGTCTACAAAATTGGTAAAATTATACATAAGCCAAAAAGAGCTAAAAAAGGTATTACAATAGAGGGTGCCTTTTCTTGTTGTTGCTTGAGACAAGTGGGAAAAATGAGGTACAATTTAAATCAGTTTTGCCTCAGGAATCATAGAATCATCCGGGTTGGAAAGGACCTCTGAAATCATCAAGTCTAACCTTGATCCACTACCACCGCAGTTACTAGACCATGGCACTAAGTGCCACATCCAGTCTCATCTTAAATGCCTCCAGGAACGGTGAATCCACCACTTCCCTGGGCAGCCCATTACAGTGCCTGATGACCCTCGCTGTAAAGAATGTCTTCCTAATATCCAACCTAAACCTCCCCTGGCAGAGCTTGAGACCATGCCCTCTTGTCTTACTGATAGCTGCCTGGGAGAAGAGACCCCCACCTGGCTACAATCTCCTCTCAGAGAGTTGTACAGATTGCTGAGATCTCCCCTGAGCCTCCTCTTCTCCAGGCTAAACAACCCCAGTTCCCTCAGCCTCTCCTCACAGGGCTTGTGCTCGAGTCCCTTCACCAGCCTTGTTGCTCTTCTCTGGACCTGCTCCAGCACCTCAATGTCCTTCCTGAACTGAGGGGCCCAGAACTGGACACAGCATTCCAGGTGTGGCCTCACCAGCACTGAGTACAGGGGAAGGATCACTTCCCTGCTCCTGCTGGCCACACTGTTCCTGATGCAGGCCAGGATGCCATTGGCCTTCTTGGCCACCTGGGCACACTGCTGGCTCATGTTCAGCTTCCTGGTTCCTTTCTGCCTGGCTGCTCTCCAGCCACTCTGTGCCCAGCCTGTAGCGCTGCAGGGGGTTGTTGTGGCCAAAGTGCAGGACCCGGCACTTGACCTTGTTGAGAATTCTGCGAGAATGTTACTGATAACATTTTTCTGTAGAAGATTCCCTGATTTATCTTTAAGTAGATTTTTTTCCATCCTCAGTAATCAAGATCCCTGTGCTTTATGCTTCCATCAGTGATCTGAAGGAAGGCTGGCTATTTCTGCACAGCCTTCATACTTATTTATTTGATCCTGTTCTTTCTGGTGAACCTGAGATGAAGTCCTGGTTATGTTTCCCTTTACCAGACAGGCAGTGAAAATCCAAATTACTACTGCCCGTCATAACTGTGTCCTTTAGCATCTGTTAGTTTGATTTGTGAAAGGATACTAAATACGAGTTTCCTATGGAGACCATATCATTGCTTTGAGGTCTGCCGTTTAGTTTAATTTCTGGTTCTCAAATTCTTTGCTTACAGACTATAAAACAGACATAACATTATTGAACATATTTCTGTCTTAGTGTATTTGTGGAATGTGTTTTTGCAAGTAGCAGATGAGTTCCTTCTTAGATGCATGATGCATTCACGGATCTTATTGAATATAAGGGGATTGTCTTTATTTTGTTTATATCACTTTTTTTTTTTTTTTTTGCAAGATCTAGTTGAACTTTTCTGTAAGTGTATGGCAGAGGTGCAGTTGTCTTCATGTCTGCTGAAGCATTAATCACTTAACAAATGGAGGAGAATATTTGATTTCAAGTGTACAGCATATCTCAACTCTTATCTAACATCATTCCTTACTTCTTTATTTCGTTTTTTCTCCTTCTGCTCTGTGTCGCAGCTACCACCCTGGCCAATGTGAGTGGGTATATTGCCCTGGAGATGCCATATCTTCTGTTGCAACATCCGAGAAGAGCACAGGAAAAATATTCATATATGATGGCCGAGGAAATAACCAGCCACTTCATGTTTTTGATAAACTCCATAATTCCTCACTTACTCAGATACGGCTCAACCCTGTCTACAAAGTAGTTGTGTCTTCTGACAAGTCTGGGATGATCGAGTACTGGACTGGTACACCTCACGAATATAAATTCCCCAAGAATGTGAACTGGGAGTATAAAACAGATACTGATCTATATGAATTTGCTAAATGCAAGGCTTACCCATCCAGTATAAGTTTTTCACCTGATGGCAAGAAAATGGCAACTCTCGGGTCTGACAGAAAAGTTAGAATTTTTCGTTTTCTGACGGGGAAGCTCATGAGAGTCTTTGACGAATCTCTCAGTGTGAGTTTTGTCTTGTTTCTCTTTCTTTGAGACATTTTCTGTACTTATTTGGATTTATTTGCCAGCACATTCGCCTAAGTTATCATTTGTTTCTAAAGGCAAACTTCCTTCCTATATTTTTCTTGCAGAAAAGGCCTTCTATGTTCTCTTCCTAGCCCCTTGTATTGCTTTGTCCCAAATGAATTCTTACAGATTTGTTACTTACATAGTGAAAGAGAGGTGTTGATTTTTGTCTCTATTTTCATTTTACTAGAAAGCAATTACAGAGAATTTCAAATAACATCACACACCTTTCTTTGCTTTAGCCTAGTCCTACAACATGCCTATTGCATCATGAAAATAAAGAAAGCATTACTTGTATCTGTTGAAATTCTTTAGTTGAGTGAAGTAGTCCCACTTGAATTTAGTATTTTCTAATCATGTGGATTAGTGCTTTGCTGTGTAAAAAGTTTAGAATATGTTAATATAATAGTGATTTTTTTTTTTTTTCAGATGTTTACTGAACTTCAGCAGATGAGACAACAACTACCAGACATGGAGTTTGGCCGACGTATGGCAGTTGAGCGTGAGCTGGAGAAAGTGGATGCTGTAAGATTAATAAATATAATTTTTGATGAAACTGGACACTTCGTTCTCTATGGAACAATGCTGGGCATTAAGGTCATAAACGTAGAGACTAACAGGTAAGTTCCAATGACACACATTGAGATAACATTTCTATTTCAAAGTCTGTATTCAGTCACATTTGTACCATATTTAAAACTTGATATGACTGTGGAGGTCTCTAATCTTTTTGTGGTGTTATTTGGGAGCCTAACATTAGACTGTAGAGAAGATAGTCCCATGCTTTATAATGAGTTATTGCAGATTACAGCTTAGTAAAATAAGGACAAAATGTGGCAGGCATCTGGGTATTAAAAATGTGTAACCTATTAATCTCTGGCTAACTGGATAGGATAATGTAAAGTAAATGTGGATTGTTTATTAATATTTATAAAATACTTTATTTTATTAATATTAGTATTTTATTAATAATTAATACTATTTTATTACATATGGAGGCTTACTGGTAAATTAGGTAGCAAGGTTGAATAAAGAAACATCTTAATTAATAAATAACTACTTCGAGAGCATTTGGAAATTTTGCTCTGAGTCCTGCAGTCAGAAAGGAGACATTCTCTGACTGTGAGCAGCTGACAGTAGTTACACCTCTTTACATCTTGTACTTCAGGTGTATTCGTATCTTGGGAAAACAAGAGAACATCAGAATGATGCAACTAGCTTTATTTCAAGGAGTGGCAAAGAAACATCGTGCTGCAATCACTATAGAGATGAAAGCATCTGAAAATCCTGTTCTCCAGAATATCCAGGCAGATCCGACAGTAATTTGCACAGCCTTTAAAAAAAATAGGTTTTACATGGTGTGTGTGGTTTCTACTTAAATGATTCCTTCTTGTATTAATGTTTTCTCTATGTATTTTTTTGTTTTTCTCCTTGCGCCTTTCTAGTGCTTTTTGTCTTGAGTATTTGCTAAAAAACTTTTCTAGAGAAGCCCCTTTATATTGCAAGTAAATTCTGGAATTTTTAGCTTGAACTATATATATATACAGTGTAGAAATAGCTTTAATTTTTTCACATTGTTCAAGCAGTTAAATAAATGGGGGTTGTTTTGGCTATCCAAACTTTTTTTCTCCAAGAAGATGGTATCCTTTTGTTCTAGTTAATAAAAAAAAAAATTTTGAGAACATTTAAAAAATCTAACCAGATTTTATAAAAAAACAATAGTTAACTGTATGTATAAAAAATGTAATAGAAAAAAAATTCAGACCAGCATCAGGACTTGGTAGCAATACAGACATAGCAGGCAACCAAGAAAGATAGGAGTCATCTTCCTGTTCACAGTTTGGTTTTTAGGTGAAATGCAATTAATAAGCCAAACAATCAAGCAAGTCCAGAGTAGGTAGCAGTTGATTTGGTAGGTGATAGCCATAGAGGTTAAAGATTGGTCTGTCATGACTTAAATTTGCTGGTTGTCTACAGTTTTGTATTAAAGTAGTATTGGAATAAGGATTTAGTTTGATTTTTGTGCAACTAAAACTTTTGGCATGAAACCTGGGAAATTTCTCTAACAGAACAATCTGACATTCTCTGCTCCATTTTAAAGAAAAAGTGGTGGACTACTAATGAGTTCCTGTTCAAAAGGGGGAAGTCCAGAGATAACAGATTATAAAAAGTTACTTAGGATTTTCATGTAGTTCTACTGGAATTTGTGACTGGTAACGCACAGCACTGAAATGCAGGGATAGACAGTCTATGAATTGTCTTCCTACATTTCAAATTGAATTCAGTGTTTAGCAGGTTGAATAATGACACTGATGCCTTGGGCGCAGAGCAGTGTGTAAGTTAAGGGGAAAAAAAGAGAAAAGCAAGCAGTTAACCTTCTGTTCTTTTGTTCTTCAGTTTACTAAACGTGAACCAGAAGATACAAAGAGTGCAGATTCTGACAGAGATGTATTTAATGAGAAACCTTCTAAAGAAGAGGTCATGGCAGCCACTCAGGCAGAAGGTCCCAAAAGAGTCTCAGATAGTGCCATCATCCACACAAGCATGGGAGATATTCATATCAAGCTTTTTCCTGTTGAGTATGTATTTGGTAGTTTTTCTCTTGTTTTGTTTTTGTTACTTCTGTCCCTGGGGTTGCAATATGCAAGACTTATATTTCAAGCTAGAAATAGTTATTTTCTTTCTCGGTTTTGACTGTCCTTGTTTCTTGACTGTTTCTTAATACATCAAACTAGGAATGTGACTCTTGATGAACACAAAGTAGGATAAAATAGGTCTAAATAACAGTTGGGGCACTGGAGTTTTTTAAATTCCATTTTGTTTTAGTTATTGGTTCAGCAGGACTATTCCTTTCTTAACTTTTGTTCTTTCTCTCAACTGCAGATGTGGATAGGTCACTATATTCTTCTGTGTAAGCTACGTATTAGTGTAAGGCAGAGCTGTTTGGTTCCATCTGGAAAAAAAGTGATGTTGGCAGCAGCAGAACATTTGGGAGGAGGAATGGTAGTTGCAACTTCAAAATGTGGCCAGAATACTACATTTTATGTTATTGTTATTGCAGGTCCTTTAAGAGCAATATAACATTTATATCAGCATATAATATTAGTGCTGTGTATATCCAAAACAAGGCACAAAATTGAAATAGTTTTATGCATGCCAATTGCTAGTGTGTCAGCACCTCTGCTTTGTGGTGCAAAAACTGCAAATATTTTTTTTAAATTAGTAAGTGTATGTAATACATTATATTGCCATACATAGAAACTTAAACCATTTAGATGCAGGCCATGCTTCTTGAAAAATAAGTTTATGTTTTGTCCTAGGCACAGGTGAGGAAACACAACCTCAATTCTGCCCTGTAGGGCTACCTGAGTTTTACTGCAGTCTTCACCAGTGTCTCCTTGCATCAGGCCCTAGTTTCTGGAATTTGTAATTGTAGCCTATAGGTTGCAGTAATGATAAAGCTGTTGCTGGTGAGTAACAGGCCAAGCTCCAATATTTCTGATTTTTTTTTTTTTTAATTCTCATGCTGGTGTATCACTATATTTACACACAGAGTATTGCTAGGTGCTTCACTGCAATGCTTTGTGTGCAATTTAAAATTAAACATGGTATTACTAGAGTTGCTTCTTGTTAAGTTTGTCCTTTCTTTTCCTCTAGTATTTTCTCCCAGCTAAGCTTTGAATTTTAAAATCTCTTTAATGTGATTATAACTCTATAAAGAAGAGCATATAGGATGTAGGTTTGTATGCCATTTAACTCTTTGGCCATTTTGTTGTGAAATAAAAGTTGTGAATGACGAAGTGCTGCTCAGCAAGAACTGGGACTATAACCTTGTCTGTTCCTTTAGTTATATCACTGGTGCTGTTTTTCATAAGATAGTCTGGAGTGTCATTAAAACCCAAGTTAATGTTAGTTGTCACAGCTAGAGTAACGCTACAGTTATGGACTCAGTCACTCAAAATGGGTGACTGTAAACTTGTCAGTATAGATCTACCTTGGCTAGATCTATATAAAGATAGCAGAAGAGCTACCACAAAGAATTTTCACTCTGGTAGCATCTCTCAGAAATAAAAAATCAAGTCACAGAGATTGAAGGGGTTGTGCCATTTTTTCCAAGAACAGTAAGATTCCATATCCTCACCAAACAATGTTATTAGCAAGTAGAAGGAAAACTGACTGTGTTGACTGCAAGTTCTATAATATTAAAACATTTTACAGTTTTACTTATATGCAACATTGGACACTTTGCATGTATATCCTAAAAGACGTGTAGAGGTAAAAGAGTGAACAACTTTCTGCTTATGGAGCATACACAGTTTATTTACAAAATTAGTAGTCTTAAGTAGAAAGCTGGGAACCTCTAATCAATTGTTCATTGAACTAGGCCTTGAGGAGATAATTTGTTTTCTGTCATGGTTTAACCCCCAGCCAGCAACTAAGCCCCCCCACAACTGTTTGCTTGCCTCCGTCTTGTGAGGATGGAGAGAGATTCGAAGAGTAGGAATGAGAAAATTTATGGGCTGAACATGGAGACAGTTTAACTGGGAAAGCAAAAGCCATGCACACAAGCAAAACAAGGAATTAATTCACCACTACCCATGGACAGGCAGGTGTTCCACCATTTCCCAGAAAACAGGGGTCCATCACATATTACTTGGGAAGGCAAAACGCCATCACTCCAACTGTCCCCCACTTCTTCCCTCAGCTTTGATATGCTGAACATGATGCTGCATGGAATGGAGTGTCCCTATGGTCAGTTGGGGTCAGCTGTCTCAGCTCTGTTCCCTTCCAACTCATTGTGCAGCCCCAGCCTTCTCACTGGTGGGGGTGGGGTGAGGAGCAGAAAAGGCCTTGACACTGTGCTGCTCAGCAACAGCTTAAACATTCCTGTGTTGTCAACACTGCAGCTGCCTTCCTGTGTAACCATTCAACGTTGTACTCCTCAACTTTTTGCTTTCAGCTCTGGGTTTTAGAAGGTGAAGATCTGTTTTTTCCCTATTTGATGAAAGCCCTTTCTACACTGAGCTGAAACACTGGTTAGCACAACAGCATCTTAGTCTCAGCTGAAGTCACCAGACAAATATTTATTGTACCCTTTGTTTTCTGTTATATTATTTTAGGTGCCCCAAAACAGTGGAAAACTTCTGTGTGCACAGCAGAAATGGCTATTACAATGGACACATAATTCACCGTATCATCAAGGTAACTTGTAGCAAGTTAATCTTTTGTTGGTTTAGATAATGTACCCTATTAGTCAGTCCTCTTTGCTAACCCCTTCATTCCCTTTTTGGAAAGAGGATTTTTGAGTGGCTTTAGAATTCCCTATAAAGTCTTAACAACTCTGATGTTCTAAACAGCTTAATCACTTGCTGAAGTTGTTTAATAGTTTTACTGCAACTAAAAGAAAGCTGAAAACTGAATGATAAGTTCATTTATCCTGCTTGAATTAAGACTTTGTTTCATGTCAGAGGGTATTTCTTGTAAGGCTTCTTATTTCTGCTGCACCAGAATACAGCCAAAGTGTTTGCAGAAGGTACAGTCAGGTGTCTCTTATCCATAGAATTTTAACACATTTTGTTGCAAGGTTTGAAGTAGGTTTGAAAATATGTCACCTAGCATAAAACAATTATTTATTCTATGCAAATATTACATATCACATAATTTCTATGCAGGGTTTCATGATTCAGACTGGTGACCCAACTGGTACAGGAATGGGAGGTGAAAGTATTTGGGGAGGAGAATTTGAAGACGAGTTTCATTCAACGTTACGACATGACAGACCATACACACTCAGCATGGCTAATGCAGGACCAAATACCAATGGATCCCAGTTTTTTATAACAGTAGTGCCAACTGTAAGTAATATTAAAAGCTGAATTTAAGGCATGAGAGGCTAACTCGACAGTACAAAATAGGTTTTCTGATGGAAAAAGGATCACACCAGTACTATCTAAATAATCTTTCCTTAATATTTTGCAAAAATATGCTGCACACCATAATGTATACTGTGCAGAGTTCACTGAAACTGTCCTTAAGATATAGAAAAGTATTTCTGTGAGTTGTGAACAAGAGGCCTTTTGCCTTTAATTGGAATAAGGGTGATAAAACATTCTTAGGCATGTTTGCAAATTATGTATTTTAGTAACAGTGATTTAAACTTGATGGAAATCTAGGTATTGTGTAGATTGTTTAAGGTTTGGATATAGTGCCAGGATGTCTCATTAAGTGTAGCTAATAATTGTAGCTATACAAAGATGCCAGTGTTCAAGTTTGAAGATCTCCTTTGATCTGTGTATAATTTCAGAGCCAAAACCAGAAATTTTGGTATGTGAGTCTAAGAGATACAAGACAGTTTCTTAAAGGTAACATTTAAAAGAACTGTATTCTTAAACACTTATTCAAAACCCTGTGTCTTTTTTTGAAAGCATGTATCTGCCATAGTTTTGAGGTTTATTAAGTTCTGTCAGTGTCTGTATTCAAATTGGGCATACTCTATGAATACAACTTTGAATCAAGTAGTATTCTGGACTGGCACTTTAAATTCCTCTGTGAAAATAGAGAGACTGAAACAGAGTGGCTGTGAACTGAGAATACACTTTAAAATAAACTATACAATGCTACTGCATTGGTAGCATGTGACCTCGGTAGTACTTTAGAAAACAATTGAAAAGATAAGTTCAAATGCATATGAATGTGTGCTAACTGCACTCCAGTATTTACTTGCATGGTGGTATTTTCGTGGTGTTAGATTCCATAGTCTGGACATACAACATGTATCCATGTGTACTTACTCTCTTTCTGTTTTAGTACCTAGCTTACATGCTGCTTTTTGTATTAACATGCTTTTTCTTTCTCCTCCTCTGCTCTCTTAACAGCCATGGCTAGACAACAAGCACAGTGTGTTTGGACGGGTGACCAAAGGAATGGAAGTTGTTCAGAGAATCTCAAATGTAAAAGTCAATCCAAAAACTGACAAGCCCTATGAGGATATCAGCATCATTAATATCACAGTGAAGTAAGGCAGGCCTTGAAGGTTTCACCTTAAACAAAAAAAAAAGAACGTATGGGACCCAGAAAGGGACCTAGAAAGAACAAAAACCTTTTTAATAATTCTTAGGTGTAGTGAGTACCAGGACAGAGCAATCACCAGTTCAGCAATTTTTAATGTACCTGAAGTGCCCTAATTCTGTATTTCTGATAACTTTGTATTTTAAAGTAAAAACACATGCACGTTTCTTACGAACTCTACTGTCTTTCTTCATCTTCCATGCAAAACTAAAGATAAAAACCCACACTGTGTCCCATGATAGTTTTTGTAACTTCATCAGCTTTATTTTTAATTAATTCTTTTTTTAATACTTTAACAGTATTGAAAGCTTTGACAGAGGAAAATGTCAGAAATCCTAAACTGCATACTCTCAATCCTATGTCCATGTATCAAAAATTCGATTAAGTTATGATACTGTTTGCTATGACAAGCAAACAGTGTGATCTACCTCGATTCTTTAAAACTGGGCTTGTCCATGTCTTTCCTGTCCAAGGGCAGTGATCAGCTCTTAGAATGCCAGTGTAAAAAGTCCTGTGCAATTTGTTTGGTGTTGCCAATTTTTTTCTTTTGTGTTTTCTTTCTCATTATTTTAGCATAGGGAGTCTCTTACCTGGCTTCACTTTTACTGGAAATCCTAAAACATGACTGCTACTACTGAAATGCTTAGTTTAAAATAAATTATGGTAATAATCTCAACTAGGCTTTATGTCAAGGTGATTCTGATGCAGTTATAGAACACAATAATAGAATCATTAAATTTGAAAAAACCCTAAAAGATCACTAGATCCAACCATTAACCCAGCACCACCACCACCATCTTCACCATTAAACCATGTTCCAGGTGCCACAGCAATATGTTTTCTGAACACTTCTAGGATGGTGACTCCCCCACTTCCTGGGCACTCTATTCCAATGCTTGACCACATGTCAGTGAAGAAATTTTTCCTAATATCCAACAGTAATTTCAGGCCATTTCCTCTCATCATGTCACTTGTTATCTGGGAGAAGGCACCAACACACACCTCTCCACACTTCCTTTTAGGGAAGCTGTAGAGAGCATTAACATCTCCCCAGAACCTCCTTTTCTCCTCAGCAACTCCTAGTAAGACGTGTGCTCCAGACCCTTCACCAGCTTTGATGCTCTTCTCTGGACATGCACCAGTGTCCTTGTAGTGAACGACCAAAAGTGAACACAGGATTCAAGGTGTGGCCTCACCAGTGCTGAGTACAAAAGGGCCAATCACTGCCCTTGTCCTGCTGGCCACACTTCTGCTGATCCAGGCCAGGATGTCATTGGCCTTCTTGGCCACCTGGGCACACTGCTGGCTCTTGTTCAGCCACTGCTGACCATTACCCTCAGGTCCTTTTCGCTAGGCAGCTTTCCAGCCACTCCGCCCCCAGCCTTTACCTCATATACCATTGACCTCAGCCCATGATCCAGCCTGTCCAGATCCCTGGGCAGAGCCTTCCTGCCCTCCAGCAGATCAAGACTCCTGCCCAACTTGGAGTCATGTGCAAACTTACTGAGGGTGCACTCGATATTAAACTGGCCCAGGTGCTGGGCCCAGGGTGACTGGCTGCCAGCTGGATGTAACTCCATTCACCACCACTCTCTGGGCTTGTCCATCCAAATAGTTTTTTATCCAGCAAAGAGTGCTGTCCAGGCCATCAGTTTCCCCACAACTAAGTGGAAGATAGTGTCAAAGGCTTTACTAAAGTCCATACAGACAATATCCACAGCCTTTCCCTCATCCACTAGGTGGGTTACCTGGTCAAATAGGACCAGGCATGTCAAGCAGGGCCTGCATTTCACAAACGCATGCTATGCTGGCTGATCCCGATTGTCCTGCACATACCACATGATGGACTCAGGATGAGCTGCTCCATAACCCTCACTAGCATCAAGGTTAGACAGACAGATCTGTAGTTCCCTGGACTCTTCTTCTGGCGTTAAAATTGCCAAATTTCAGTTACCTCCCCAGTTAGCCAGGACTGCTGGTTAATGACTGAAAGTCTCTTGGTTAGCCAAAGCTTTCTGTTGAGGCAGGCCGGCCTTCTTGCCCACTGGCTCATCTTTCAGCACCTTGGGGACACCTTGCTCGTGCACCTTTTTAGGATTTCCTTCCTGAACAATGTTCTGCCTTCCTGGAGTCCTTTGGTCTTCAGGACTGACCTCCAAAAGAACTCTAAACTAGTTTACTAAACAGGCCATAGTCTGCCCTCTGAAAGCCTAAGGTGGCAAATCTGCTGACTTCTCTCCTTCACCAAGAAGCAAAACCTCATTCGTGACCCCTCTGCCCAAGAGAGCCTCCAATCATCACATCACTGACCAGTCCTCTGCTCACAAACAGCAGCTCCCCAGTGAAAGTTCAGACAACTCCTCAAGCTGTTGCTAGTGTAGATATAGTCCTGTTGCTACGCTGCATAGTTAAGTCTACTCTAAAACCAGTGATATTTACCTTGCCTGTTTCTATTCACATAACACCATTGCACTTATAAAAGACTCAGGAGTTTACAGTTCTGGTAACTTAATTTATGAATTGAGATGTGATGCATGATAATCAAAGTCAGTCCCTCAAAAGTTGCTGCTGCCACCAGGAAGTTTATCTTTAGTGAGATAAAGGATCTTCATGGATCATTAATAAAGAAATTCTACAGTAAGTTAAATGTACCACACCTCTAATTTGAGATGACTTTTAAAAAATCCAAAAAGGCAAGTTTATTAAAATTAGCTCTCAAGGGTTTACATACGTTTATTGAAAAGAAATAATTTTCTGGGCAACTCAAATTGCAGCAGCTCCACTAAAGAAGCCCTTTCTTTCAAGAAATTCACATAACATCCACATCTACTCCAACACTCTCAGAAGCAAACCCTCACAGTCCATAGTAACTTTGAAGGTAAAATACAGAAAGACCATATCAAGCAATGAAACATTACTTTTCAGTTAGCCTAACCATACTGTTCTTGAGATTACATTCTTCAAAGAAAGCCACAACACAGTCACTGGATGTTGCATTTACTCAATTTCAGAATTAAGTCAAAATCATTTGATTTTGATCTTTTGAAAAACCCCTCACCGTCAGTAATGCTTGAGTGAGTTTTAGTTGAGGAAATATTCCAATTACATATTGCATAAGTCAGTACACTAAAAACTAAAGTTCAGTAAAACTAAGGAAACAAGCTTAAATTTATAACTGAAGCAGTATACAAATAACCCTCTTAGTGTAGCTGTTTACACTGAAGAGTTCACAGACAAATGTAACACCTTCACAGTTACTTCAAGTCATCTTAAATAAATTCAATTTAAAAACTCTTGTGGCAGCATTCCATATGTCACAAGGAATCACTTGCATGCAAAAATATATGCATGAGTGAAAATTTTTCCTCTGCCCTCAATATAATGTTACATCAAATCCAAACTGGTCACCTTGAATATTTTGAAATAGAACTGAGCAGCATGTGTAACTGAAGCCTAAGCCAGCTAAAATAAAACTAGAATCAGGATTTTTCTAAAGAATGTAGTATTCTGTTAAAAATATTCCAGAAAAAGGTATCTACCATACTTAGTAGAACTTGTCTGTATTTAAAAAAAAGCTGTGAAAAGAGCTGTGAAGGGACAGTAAGCTCTAACTAGGTAGGGGTTGCTCTGCAGTACAGGCTAAGCAGATGCTCAAGTCAGAGCAGCCAACTGTACATCATTCAAGAAGTTACAGGCTGGGAGGAACAATTCAAAGTTTGGTAGGTGCAAAAAACCCCACCTTTTACTCTGTTATAAACTACTTCCAAATGTATCAGCTTGTCTGAAGAAAAGAGTAAATCCCTGTCTCAGTACCTACATATTATATGTAGGCATTGAAATTCATTTTGCAAACATTACACTACTTTGAAGCTTAGTGTTCTTTCAGGTACTATTCAAGTCAGTAGACTTGCTGCATCTGAGGCTGCATTTAACACCCTTTACCTGAAATTTAAGTAACAAGAGGAAAATACAAATAAGTGACATTATGAGGAAGTAGTTACCTTAACTGCTTCCACCCAAAGAAAAGTGCAAGTGTACTAAAACTATCTGTTTATACATTCTTGGCTTTACCTAAGGTATGTAGTAGGAAACCAAGGTGACAATGAAAGCCATAGCCACACATAATGGGATACACTTCCTTTGCCCCATGAGGTTCAGAGCTCCCACAGGTAAGCGCACTTTCCACTGTCGCAAAAATATCCCCACATCTATGGAACACTGTTCACTTCCACAGTCCGGTTCTCCTGATTCACCTCTACTCCAGTAAGAAAAGTGATGATACACAGTTTTGATCTATTGGTCATGCTCTTTATAGCTTCTCTACTAACATGGAGAGGGCCCATGGCGCGGTTTCTTCAACTGGCAGTGGCCACGCGCTAAAAGAGAAGGGCAGAAGATTCTGGTGCACACACCAGATAGATAAAATTGTTAGCAGAGTTGCATGTCCAGCAGAAAAACAGACATCACTATGTCATTCCAACCTTCTCTAAATTTAAACAGCACTACACCCATACTTCATGGGTTTGTGAATGAGTAATCTTCAAAAATAGAGGCATTGGTAATAGTTCCATGTAGAAGATACAAAAAGAATTGAAAATCTCATTATGGTAGGTTTACATCACATTTTACTACCTACTCTTCTAAGTAAGAGTTATAATTGGTGTACACTGATTTTACACTATGTTATTGAATATTTTAAGGCCACTACCTTAATCTGGAAGCATGACTTCTACATAAAAGTACATAGCTGGACTGACATTACAGCACACTACTTCTTTAAGAAGTTTTTTTTAAATTGACTTCTTGAGGAGTAAACTTAATCTCTAAAGGCCGATTATGTCCTCAAGTATGCACAAAACACTTTCACCTCAGTATCACTATAGTGTGTCCATAAATAATTTAGCATGAAAAACCCAACTAATCCCTGTCCCACAGATAGAAAACAAGTAGCTAAACTATGCCATAGTCTCCTTGCTCTGCAACACTGTTCTCCAATCTGGGATTTCTTTATGCAGGTACGCTGCCTTCTGATAACAAACAATGAAGCTAATAAATATAGGGGAAACACTTTCTTTATATGGTGTATTTACATTTAAGTTTGAATGCCACCTTTAAATTAATAGATTCTTTAGACATTAAAGAGTAGCACCATTTACTTCTGACAATTACAGATGGCTATTCTAATAACTTGAGATGGATTTTGGGATATTTTCATGGGAAAGTATTTCTAAACCACTCTGAATTTTTCTAACACTAATCATCTACTATAACATCATTATAATTATTGTACGAACTCGAAGGAGTATCAGGGAAGAATTTTAAATTATAACAATTTCTCTAAAAAGAATTTCATAACATCCTTGTAACAAGTCCATTCCACTACTATCAACTTTCAAAAACACTGTAACAGCAGAAGTTTACTGAACCAGTTATCCAATCTAGGATAAAGCCTTATATTTTTCTGTAATCACCAAGTTAAATGAAGTCCCCTCTTCAGAGCGCAGACCTGGCGACAACATCCCGGTCATACAAACAAGACCATAAAGTA